GCGCTGGTGAAATATGGATGTGCTGACAGCTGCCATATCATTTAAATATATCTGAATAATAGGATTTATTGCACAGCTGTGTGCGATCCTTGCACTGTGCTGTTCGTTATCGTGGATCGCAGAGTCCAATGCTGCAAACGTGATGCTCCCTCCACTGCGATGAGATAAAGGGCAGGCACTGAGATCAGTATTTCTCAGGGCTAATCCCCAATAAACTTGGCCTAATCTTGAACCTGGAGCCATTTAGAAGGACCTTGGGGCTCATGGAGTCCCTCTGAAATTGGCAGCTTCATTGGGTGCAAGCGGGATCATCACATCTCACGCACATCCCAGAGCTGGGGGCTATATTCTGGATCGATCAACAAAATCCTCAAAGTCTTAATTCCTTCCACTGCGTCCTCATTTGGGGAAAACCTCCACCCCTTCAGCAGGCGTCTTGCCCAAAGAAGACACCTAAGATCGGGCCTGATGTTTGCAGAGCAGCTAGACAACCTCGGTTGCTGCTCCTACAGAGTAAAGTGATTTTATTATTACCATTATGAACTGGAAATATAAGACACTATAAAATGCTAATCTTTGGGAGGAGTGCTTTCTTCCTCATTGTGTGCATATATAATGCATATTGACATTAATGGGAGTTATGCACACACATGCAGGGGAATATAAATCCCTCTGGATGAAGATCTCTTTAAAATAAGTTCTCAGTGAAAGGAACAGATTTCCCTGCTATGATTGGCAATCATATTCATCTTGTCGCTTTGATTAATTCATTGGAGGCTTGCCCACATGGTTATTCTTGTGTATTACTGCTTGTTTTCAAGTCTGGTTTAATCCATGTCTTTTCAGTGGGGTGCGGGTGTTTGCGAGCACAACCTGACAATATCCAGGATCATGAGATGCCAATTCCAATTTCACACTGTAGACTCAGCGATGCTTTTCCATTTCACAAGTATTTCTACCACTAATAGACTCGCAATCAGCAAATTAGTAAAATAAGTGATGAGAAAAAATAGAAAGGATTATCCTAGTGGGTCTGCTGGAATTATTTTTGTCAGTACAATTACCCTGAAAATTCTTTGCTAATATTGCAAATAACACAATCTATTCAGCAAGAGAATCACTTGCGCTGAGAAACAAATTACTTTTCCATCAGCCCTAACCCAGGATGACAGTGGCAGTTGTGCTCTTTGGCCTCCATCCAATTTCATTGTCTGATCCTTTACAGATTTAGTACTGTAATAAAGGGAGCTCCCATTGTAGTGCAACAACCGGGATGCTTTCAAGTACGAGCACTTTTTACAGAGCAGCTGCATCAGGATTAAGCAGGATTCTGGAAGTGGGATTAGCCAGACAGAAAGCCCTCTTGAGGCTGCTGACTTCTGCAAACCGGTTTCCTAAGTCTTTTTTTTTTTTTTTAGAAAAAGATTTAGAAGATGCTGGGAGTCTAAGGGAGTGAGGACAGAAGCACAGTCCTCTCAGCGCAGCGGGTAGCTGGCTGTCCCCTCAAGCATCTCTTTGCTTGCTCCCAATAGCCCATCTCTGTGGGTGTATTTACCCATTTCATTTCATTTTTACCCTCTGCAAACAGCGTGGGATCCTCGGGAAGGAGCAGAGGTGGGCGGCTCGGCTATGGAAGAGCCAGTAGCTGGAAGGGGAATGATGGATAGGCGGTGGAGCTGGAGAACAGGGTACAGCAGGGGAGACAAATGGCTCGAGTGGGTCATATATAAGATAGAGGAGAGGAAAACTATAATCCATTTAGCTAGATGAGAAAAGACAGATCAATAGATATGAACTGCAAAGCAGTGGGGACCAACTGAGGACAACTGCGTAACTTACCCACCTAGAGACATCGCTCAGATTAATGTTCCCACTGCGCCAAGCAATTCTTCCCCAAACTGAAGCCAAAGAGGCTTGTGAAGTAGTCCCAGCACAAGGCTCAAAATCTGAGCTCTTGGCTCCGTGGCTCTGTTTCGCTCTCCCTATAAGCCAGCCCTACGCGCCCGAGCACCTCGCGGTACGCGACATGGGATGAGGAAGTCAGAGAGGATTCAAAACCCAGCCCATCCCAGCTCCCAACTTACATTTAAAGGCTTTAGGTGAGGTTTCGCTAGTCTGAATCTTTGGGGCAAGCATGCGTTTGCCAAAAACCTGAGCATCAAAACTTGCATAATCGAAGGTGACCTTGGAGTACTTCTCCAGCTCCTTGGCCAGGTTGGCCCGGGGGGTTGCTGGGACCATGTTGGGCCGGTAGCTTCCGTACTGAGGGATCTCCAGCTGCTTCACGAAGCACATAGGCCTGTGGACAAGACAAGCAACAACAGTAATTTCTGCTTTCCCTTCCCCACAAGCCATTCCTGGGAAGGACCCACACTAGCCCCTGCTCAAGGTGATGGGCACAGTTCATTGTGCCTTGTCCCCAAGAGCAGAAGAGGACAGTGCTTCTGCTCACCCTCCTAGCTCTGCACCTGGGCTCAGCTCTCTGATTCCCCCATTCGTTTTTCCCCCATCATCTTTTTCCTTTTTGCACCAGACACAGGGTTGCCAATTCGATGCAAAGCAATTTCATTTCAGGCTGCAATGGGCAGAAGGACTCGGGTCACTCTCCTACAGGGATCCCGCTGCCAAATGCCACCCAGAAGCACAAGGAGCCCAGCTGAGCTCAAACCCCCCCTGCAAGGGCAAGCTGGAGGCCCTGACAAGCACAGAGGGCCCTGCCTGAGCTGCAAAGCTGCTCTTGCAGCCTATCATGGATCCATTTGTCTTGCATATAAATTGTATATAAGCACCCTATTGTTATTCTCCTTCCTGTGACCTCTTTCCACCAGCTTTTCCTCGAAGCAGAGGCTCCTTGGAGCATGGACCATCCTTGTGATGTGCTCGGCACACACTGCGCCCGTCATGGGCTCTGCTGCAAATAAATAAGTAATTACCCTATATGGCCTTCTTTTCGGTGCACTGGGGTGCTCAGCACTCCCGAGGAGCAAATAAATAAACCAAACAGCCTTTGATGCCTTTGGGGGGTGCTTTCCACTGCATTTTGAAGGGTCCATAGTGGGGATTTTCTCCCTCTGCTCTCCCTGTGGGACAACTACCCATATCACAGCCCATCTGCAGCCTCACACACCATCACAGCTACGGAGCCAGGATCTACCAGGTCCATTCCCAGCACTAGGGAGCCCTTTTTTGCAGGAAGATGCACCCGAGCAGAACAACAAAATAAACACACGCGCTGCAAAAAATTGAGTGGCAGGTTTCTCTCCTCCAAAACACGAGGAAAGTAAAGTGGGTGTACTTGAATAAAACAGCAATCAAGTGATTTATGCACAGCCTAAATCTCCTCCCCGCCTCGCTGAGCCCACCCTACTTATAATGCTAATATCATAGCCATAATTCTCCAGCAGTTTGTATTGCAGCGCGAGTCGCACGGATGCCTTCTGCTGCGCGGGTAAAACCCTTTGGCCTGTAGCCTCGGCATTAATTGATGCTCCAGAAGCAATTCATTGTCCTCAATGCCCTCCCCGGGATCATCAATTAAACACCTCCCCACCTTGGCCAGGCCTATGATGATAATAACAGGACTCAGCAGTATCGGGATACAGCCGGGCCGAGACGCGCCGGCTTCTCTCGGCAGCCCCAGCGGCTCCTGCCCGCTCACCTGAGGATCCGGTCAGAATTGGAGCTGCTCTTGGAAGGATCTCCAGCCTGGGTTTGTTGCTTTTCATGTGATTTGGCTAATTTTTCAGCAGCAGCAATTGGGCACCCAGATAAACTGAGTTAAAAAAAAAAAAAAAAAAAAAAAAAAGGGGGGGTGGGGGGAAAGACAGATGGAAAATGAGTGTGAGGGACATGCATGAAAACCTGCACTCATTGCAGGGATCAAATCTGCCTCAGATTTGAGGCCCATTAGGAAACCCTTTGCCTCCTCTTGTTTCGTTTTGAATTCTTTTAATTTTCCTGTTAGTTTTGGCAAGCAACAAAACAGCGAAACCTCCAGTGCCAAACCTGGCAGGGACAAGAGTCCCAAGCATCCCCTCGGCTCAGGGACAGACCAAAGGGGTAGATCCCCTGGGGCTGAGATCAGCAAGGGCCACAGGAGGACGAGCTAGTTTCTCCAAGTGCTTTTAGCCATAAATAGCGTGAGTGATTCCTATTTATCCAGCTCTTTTGCTGAGCCAGTTTGCAGGAAGCCGCGCAATAGGCGCTTGCCCTTTGGATGTGCACAGCCTCCAACATCCTCGGGAAGGAGGCAATGGGAGACCAGCACCCACCTGCAGGGTCTGCAACCTTTGAAATTACTGACAAGAAATCAGTGGGTGGGTTTTGGGGGGTCGATTATACATTATCATAAACACCTCCATCCCCACAGCAGGGCTTGGGTCTGAGCATAAGGTGCAATTATGGCTCTCAAAGCACAAAACTGCATCTGAGCTAAGATCCTGCAACGGGGAGACATAAAATCATGGGCATCACAGAGTCCTTTCAGGCTAAACATCAAGGAAATCCCTAAAAAAAAACCCTGAAGGGCCAATAAATGCCACCAGCCACAATTCTCAGCCACTTTCATCGTACTTTCCCATATTTTCAGTTATCCCTGCTTTGCCCATCCGAGCTGCACCATTCCCCAATGCCAGGGCCTCTTTTTTGGGGTAAAAACCGCTGGGTTTGGGGCTCCCGGTACCTGCGGTGCGTGTTGCGGTTGCTGTTCACGTGGCCCTGTCCTGTGCAGCCGGGCGTGGGGCATTTCAGCACGTTCTCGTGCATGGCCAAGACTGTGGAGACAGAACAGAGGAAAAAAAAATATATATATATAAAAAAAAAAAAGAAGAAGTTTTGCACATTGCATTCCTAGAAATTAGGGAATGCAAAATGCTGTAATTAGAATTTGCTGCCTGGAGGAGGGGAAAGAAGGAGATTTACAAGCAGCACCGCACAGGTCAGCGCTGGATCAGCATCTCACAGGCTGCATCTGCTCCCTGTTTGCTGATTGCAGTTGGCTCCCCCCCGTGCAGTCCCTCCCTTGCGCTGCCGTTTTGGAGCCAGGCCTACCAATTTCAGGTGGTTTTAAGTGATTGAAGTTGTATCTCAGCTTTTATCCTTAGGACTAGTCTTTGTTTGATTTTTTTTTTAATTTTAATCTTTGGGATTATTGCTTTCTGCAGCGCTGACCTTAAAAGTAAAGAAAATAATTTGATTTGCAAGCCTTTCTAAAGCACACAGCTTGTGTTATTTATTTATTAATATCTTTTTCCCCCCTCGCATTCAAGCTTGTATGAAGATAACTACTTTCTCCTTGTTTTCTGCTGTTCTGTGTTTATGGCAGGTCTGCAACCTCTGAAATTACTGATAAGGAAGGATTGGGTTTTTTTTGGTCTATTATGCCATTATCATAAACATACAACATTGATTTTTATGTATACGTGGAGAGAAAGCTATTTAGGATGCTGGTAGAGAGGTAAAAGTGAAATCTCTCTCACTATGTATAAATATATTTAGATACGTTATATATAAAATCTGTTATGATGATGATTAATATTTTTCCATGGAATTGATGAATGTCAGTATAATATTTTGAGAGTTTTGCAGGAGCTTAGAGGGAAAACCAGTGACCGTGGGCATCCTGAGCAGCTCCTTTCATTTGTTCTACGGCAACACCAGCATATTTGGACACGAGGGAATGATTTCCTCTTCTTCCCAGCTTTCTACCTCAAAAATATAGGGGAAAACGTAAGAAATCCAGTGTAAAACAGGAACTGCTTAAAACAGTGCAGGGGGTGGGCAGTAAATTTTAAAGCACCTCTTTGAATTTCGGAGAAGAGACCTTGCTCTCCACAGGATGGTGCTAAAAATCTTTAGGCAAGGTGGGACTTTTGGTTCATCTCCATAGCATTTCCCTGGAAGTTCACCACCGCTTGGGGGATTTCCCCCCTGGAATTACAGACGCCAAGGAACGGGAGCGAGCCCGGCCGCGCACTCACTCTCCGGAGGGATCCTGTCCTTGTGCGGGCAGCCCGAGAGGCTGCGGTGATGAGGGTAGAGCCCCGTGACGTGGCCGGTCCCGTCGCAGCCAGGAGTCGGGCACTTGATTTCCCGTTTCTCGGGTCTCGAGGGATCTATTGGGTTGCAGGGAAAGGGAAAGGAGGCAGAGAGGGAGGGGAAGGAAGCAGAAAGGGTTAGGGGTGCCTCAGATGAATATTTTGGGGACATTTCCCACTGATTCTCCCTGCAGACAAGCAGGGCAAAAGGATTAACCTTGGGCTCTGCAGCCGGTTTGCTGAAGGGGGAATTATTGTCATGGGAAATCTCAAAAAAACTAATGGGGAAGGCAATTTTTCAACGAGGCTCTAAGCAGCCTGCCTGCATGCACTGCTCAGGCCGGGCCACGGAGCTGCTCCCCACGCTCAGCCCTTGGGAGCCCGTGGGCACGGGTTGATGTTTCCAAGGCAAATCTAGCCAGCAATCCCTGTGTAGAGGCAGGCAGGACATTATCCCTATCTGCATTCATGGCTGATCCACAGAATGTCCCCATCTCTGCAGGCATTGAGGCCACAGGGCTAAATGCCCTCCATGGGTGGTGAAAACTTCCAGTCTCCCAGTTTTCTTTAGATGCTAGCAGA